ATTTGATACTGTTCTATCTCTGACATTGTTCTTCGAATATTATTCTCAGTATTTGCTTTGGAAATGTATTTAATACAAGGAGAATAAAAGAGGAGCTGTCGTTGTTAATATCGTTTCGTTGGATAGATCCCAAAGGGGTTGCGAGGAGTTCCACCCCTTACGATTTAAAGCAATGCGAAAATGGCGTCGGGAAGCCGCGGGTTTCATGCAGATTGGCTACGTGTCGGGTGAAAGGAGTTATGCCGAAGGGTGGTTTCCCAGCAGCTCCCGTGGAGGGCGGTTTCGCGCTTGCGCTCGCAACCCTTGCCGCTCGCATCCCCATCGTCCTGGCCCCGGCTTTTTATTATTCACGTTTTTTATTGGTCGACGCGTTCAGTTCGACATTTACATAATGGCTGACTCGGAATCGCGATTATGCGGCCGAGTCGTGGAAACGTTTTGAATAATCGCGAGCAGGGAAAAATTCCGATGCCTCGTTAGAGCGGCTTCCTTGCGAATTCCTCGAACACCGGAATCGTCCGGATTTTCGCGAAACCGTAACCTCGATTCTCGGATAGCTCGTGGGAGAGTCGAAGAGGGAAAGTGCATTTCGAGGTTCAAAGCGTTTTCGTGAACGCGCGGAACAGAGTGTACACAAGGGGTCGGCGAGGGTTAAGGCAGCGAGGCTGGTTTTATCGATCGCCACTGTGACAAGGGCAACCAGCAAGAAAATAGGGAAACCGTTCTCTCGCGATGAATGCCGGGCCTTTGTCTCTCTCTCCTCCGGCGGAGATCGATTCCCCTTTTCTGGGATTCCTCGACGGACGTAACGGAGACGGTGTTTAATCTTCTTATGATTTTCTCCTGTTGAAGATTTTTAGAAAGTCAATGGAACCCTTGGTCAGAAACAGTTGTTCGAGGATGTACATTGATTCGATACGTGATCGATTAATTATCCGCACTGGAAACGGTGTAATAAAATGTTGGCTAGCTCGTGTCTCGACCGTTTTCTAATAATCCCATTGCAGTCGGCGCGCGCCTATTAGTATCATTATCTGGCCTCCGACGTAAGTATAATAGAAATGCTTTGATAATCGGATACTTCGCCGAGATAAAGCTGCTTTATTAGTTCCAGAGTAAACAGCATAAATTTTCCACTATAATGCGTCATCCTAATGAACCTCTCGAAGTAATTTAATTACCTCGGTGCAATTAACTTACATCGTTATCGATAAAAGGAGAGAGGAGAAATAGAATTATTCTCCCTCGGCTCGACTGGCAACCAGGCATCCTCTTCCATCTCGCTCCCGTTCACGCGTTCTTTCCTGTTCCGTCCTCGTCGTCGAACTCGGCCGCTCCGTTCAGTAATTTCGTTTTGAATGAAAAAGCAATTAACGCGATAAGCGCGTGTCTCGGCCAGCTTCGGCGCTGCTTCCACTTGTGAGTCCGATTATACGGATAACGATAACAGTTTCACGCGACGCTAATTCTATTAGTTGCCTCTTCCCTCGATTTTCATGTTACCCGCAACTACATATGCTGGTTCTTTTAAACAAACCGCTGTATCCACCAATCTCACGTTCCATTTAAATATTCAATTCTCCTTCCGCGATGTTCTTGTTACATTCCATTCACTCACGCTAATCTTCAATAATTAACATGAAAATTAATTTTTCCATCTTAAGAACTGCTCGGCTATTTGTATTATTGATCGGTCGGTCGCGATTGCGCTATGTTACTCGTACGTGACGCGATCGCGCAACGCGTTTATCGGTGAACAAGCGTTATTAAAATTACGAAACAGACGGACAATCGGAGATCTGACGATACGGGGTTACGTTTCGGTAACGATATCTCGCCCCTGGATTATTCTGAACGAAGCGTCGACCGATTAAAGGTTATTCACACGTGTACCTCGTTGCACCTGAGACACCATGCACTGATATTTACTTGTAAATACGCATAGGTTACAGATTTCCTTAGGTTCGTTCATATACGTTATCTCATCGATAGTCCACTGCTGAAGCATCTTCGTGACCCCGTTACGAAGCACGTGTCGTTATCTATGGATATCAGTTTTATTATGAAACTATATTTGGAATACAAAATTGTTGAGATTACGATTGAAACAAATCGAAACAAAGATCTACTCTCGTCTGATCATATTAATTCGTTAAGATCTTAGGTAAAAAGTAAGTCTAGCGGAAGGATTTTAATTGAAAAGCGTGATTCGTCCGTGGAGCAATTTATTTATTGAAGAAAGTGCTCGAGGGCACGGCGGAGCAGCGGCTCCTGTCCTAAGCAGGATTCAATTTGGTCACTGGCCACGATTCCACCTTCAAAGAGAGGAATCACCGTCTTCTATACTACACGCGTGCCCACCCTCGCGTGTACGTGCGCGCACCGGCTGGGCCTCGGTCACCGGCCTCCGCTATTAATCTTATATCGAACGCTTTATCCGCGTCCGGACTTTTTCTCCTGTCCCTCCGACTTCCTTCCCCCTCCACGGCCGTTCGACGAGCAGGAATTTTCAATTCTTTCGAGTACCGCGGGAAACCGGATTGCCTCCGGGGATCGGCTCGCGTTTTCACTGAAATCGTGCAATACGTGATGTCCGCTAACGTCGTCGGAGGTCGTATTCTACGATACGCGAGGTTCACTGGCTGGCTCGCCGTTGATGTAAAGTCATTTTTCGGACGGTTCCCCCGGATCGTGTATAAAAAACAATTGAATCGTCTAAATTTGTCGGACGTTTTAATTGAATTCTCGGGCCGAAGCTGGTTTCCATTGTCCGCGGTTGAAACTGCGGAGATAGAGGAAGCCGTGGTCGACGCGATTAATCGCGCACGGAAATGGAAGGACGTGGAAACGAGCGCGGTCGCTTCTGGCAGGACATTGGCTAGGACGAATAAGTAATGTAGAGGTCCATTATGCTGAAACGGTGAAGGGTCTTCGAGCAGGGTCAGCCAATCCCCCGGAGGGCCGTTAAAGTGAAATACTTCTGAATGCAAGGTGGCTGACCGTCTCCCGTTCCACTTTTTCTTATTCCTTTCTTCTTGCTCCCTCCGCTGTTGGAAACCCTCGGCTCGTCCGGTCGGACTTCGTAGGTAAATCGTTGTTATCTGGACAGTGATAAACCCGTGAATGGAGTTCGCGCCTTCTGGACGAACGAGCGAGGGGAATGCAAAAGGGGGAGAAACCACCCTCGAGTACTGCGGGGTGCAACCGCCGAACGGATGGCTCTGTTTACGCGAGCTGTGAGAGTCCACGTTTCGGTACCTGCGAAACGAAACTCGAAGCCGGTCTCTACCGTTGACGTAATCGATTAGCATACTTCAGTGAAAAAACATAGAACGCAGGAAACGCTTTCGCTGTTGGCAGTTAATGGCTCGTGTTCACTTGTTAAGAATAACCGGCTGGTTCTCTTTTCATTAATATCGCCGACGGTGCCGCGTGATGATTTTTTTAACGAAAAAGCTGCGAGCGAATCGGTGCGCGGCGAGCGTAATTGAATTTTCCAGAGCGTGCACGCGAAGGCACGTCAATCTCGCCACCCCTCGAGGGGTGGTTTCGTTTGTCTCCGCGGACCGCGGCGAGGGTGCCGAGGGAGCATGCAAACACCACGAGATTATAGGAACTATCGTCGTGACCCGAAGAAACGCCGCAGGCTCACAGATTCCTACTTACGAATTCGACGACGTCCATTTCACGAGTTAGATATCTCACGTGGTTTTATATTTAATAATATGCAACGTGCTCGATACTTTCATCCGTCGCAGAATGAACAGCAGCATCTAATTACCGGGCGCATTATTCTTATTAATTATAAAGGAAATAAAAAAATGCTGCGCCGCCCGAATAATTAGCCAGCCCCAGAATTCCTCGTTGCTTATTAATTATTATCCTCGCCACGGTACGCGGCGCATGCTAATTAATGCAGATGAACGCGAAACGAAATTCCGCGAGAAATCGAACGGGTCTTTCGTTTTCTCGCGGAGAGGAAAGTTCGATTCTTTCTCTTTTAGTGTACAGAACTTCGCGGCATAAGAATGGTGGATCCGTAGAGCAGCCGGCCGAGGTCAGCGGCCATTCTCTGATGATATTGATTAGCCGACGCCCTTAGTTAGCGCCAGGCTACACTTTCTCCTGGCTGCTGCTCCTTCTCTCACCCTTGAACACCCACCAAAGTCTCGCTTTCCACCCTCTTATGTTTTCTCTCTCTCTCTCTCTCTCTCTCTCTCTCGTTTTCCTTCGTTCGCCAGGCTTCTGAAACGTCTGCTTTCTCGCCCTCGTTAGCAGAGTACCGCTGGAGAGGCTGAAACTAAATCATTCATCAGCTGGGGCTGACTCACGTCTCGCACATGCGGGATGATATTTGCGTGCAGCCTTCGTCACGTACCATGCCAATGTCCTGATTTCCTCGTAGTTCCCGAATGCACGTGTCACGATATCAAATACATACATAGATTCATGATAACAATCTAATATTGATCATTTTATAACAATTGTGAAAATTGTGTATTAAATCCCTCGTACTGTCTGTTGTATCAGATTTCTATAATATAATTATGAAAAATGTTTAGAACCGGAAAATTCGATACACCCTGGCAGAGAAAGAGCGAAATTGTGGCTGCGTCCCGAGTGTAATTAGACACTACAGGCTGGAACAACATCCACGAGTCGGCATTGTTCCCAGAAATTAAAGGAAACGAGGGAAAGCCGGGGAAACTGGCAGGCATAGGGACAGGGAATCCGGAGGGTTGCTAATTACGCGAGCTCGTGAAGGGGGCGGAAGCCATTTTCTGCGCAGATACAAAGACCCTATGGCGTTATATTAATACAGGGAGAGCGGAAGAGGCATCGAAGGGAAAAATTTGTTTGGGCACCTTTTGCAATTCGACGTCGATACTCGATAGCTCTCTCTATTTTCGTATTCTCATCCTCTTTCAATTATAACTACGTGCCAATTTGAAACGCTCGATTTTTCTCGATATTAATTATTTCGTTTCTTTTTGTTTCAGGTAAAGTTTGGATGGGAGATAACGAGGTCGCGTGGCGGACTGAACAGTCTTTTAAGAGGACCTCGCCCCTGAATCCATGCACCACGACAACTACCACGACGACGACAGGTGGCGGGGCGTCGGCACACCCTCACCTGTCACCACCCATTGCCGCCCCCGTGACCATTCCCGATCACAGAAGTCCCAGCAGTCTTCACGTGAAACTGGGCATTTCTCCCGGTAAGTACGAATCTCACCCCTGTTGCATTAAACGCGAAGCAGCACGAGTGAGTCGCGTGACGCTCGAAAAATTATTAACTGTTATCGCCGGCAATTACCGGTGCGAGTGAAAACACGCCGTCGCGAATCAGGGAATCGTGAAACCGAGGGGAGGCGAGCACCTGCGAACGGCAATTTCGCCGGACCTTACCCTAAAAGGGGCTTCTCCTTCACCATTGTCCGGCAAATGACATCAAGCTTATTGCATTATTTAAAGAGCCCTCGCTTTTTTTAAGACCGCTTTAAGTCGTCGACCCTTCGCTTTTTCTGCCACCGTTCCCTTGCTCTTTTTCTTCAGAGCGCGAGTCGATTGAACCATGACCGATGATTCCGACAGTTCTTCAGAAAACGATCTTTCAAGCGCCTGTGCGTCACACTTTTAAAAATTGTGATAGGAAGAATCGTCAGTAGCGCAAATCAATCTGTTTACGTAACGAAAAAATTGGCAGAACGAGGCGAGCAAACGCGTTGCGCTAAGAATACGGCATTGCATCGCGTTGGTATCGATCCGAACCGGAGGCCGGTCCGAGAGGATAGAAAATTCAGCGCCGGTCGAAACGCTGGCTCCTCTCGTTTGCTTAAATAAACATTGCTCGAACAATAGCGTTTGAGGAGAGGGGGTGGAGATCCGATCGGGAGCCTTGTTTCCTCGACCGGTGAACGGAGCCAGGGAGAGCTCTCGATTCCTCTTCCTCTTTCCGTGGAAAAGAGAGGAAGCGGCATGTTTAATGCATCGTTCAACATTTCCATGTCAAACATCGCTTTGACTCGCGGAATTTAAAACCGACTCTGGCCGAGGAACGGGCCGGATGCGTGTGTGCTGGCTGATGGGAAAAACCGGCCATTTTTATTTACCGTCGAGCTGGACAAGGTGCGCCGAGGCTCGATAAGGACGTCGATCGATAAGGGTCGAAAGTTGAAAGACACGAGCGCGCTCAGATGCCCTGAAACGCATTGCAAAAATTTTCAAGCAAACGGGAGAGTATATAAAAATAAATTGAAAACTGAAAATAAGAAATAATTCTTCTATCTTAATGGAGTTTAAAAGGAAACTGTAAACGCTATTTTGATGGTGGTTTTCGCTTTAAGAGGGCAAAGGCGAGGACCGCGTTCCTTTCGAGTCTATTTGCCTCGCAAAGCTATCCCGCCTAGCTGCCAAGTGTGTTTATTCGGTATATCAATAAGGACGAAGTGGACGAGGTTCCCCAAGGGTTTCCTCGCGACGTCGCTCGCCTCTCCGCCGTACCAACAACCTGATAACATTATGTTTCTTCCTACGACATATGCACTGGCCGGTTTTTGAAGAACGAGGGAGGCTCACCCTAAAATGGTGCGCGAGCCCACCGTGGACATGTGTCGAAACGATGATCCTTTCACCCCCGAACCCTTCAACAGACTTTGTCCAATAACTATAAATCACTAGTATAATTAAAAAAACATCGATGAGGGATCGAACGTTACGATTTCTCTCATTCCAATTTAATAATCTCGTAAATATTCAAATTGGTCTTTTATGGTTTGTCTCGGTTTTTTATTATAATTGAGAAACCAGTTAAATCGAAATTGTTTAAAAGTAGAGAATCATGAAAGAGGGACGAAGGGATAGAAGAATACCGAACAAGTGCCTGTTAAAAAGTAATCTTTGAAGCCAGTGAACTATGTAACGCGGTCTCGTCGTGTGTAAATTACGCTGTCCGGTTACAGAAGGATCCTTTCTTGCCTGTTCCTGGATGTATCTCTCCCCCGGGACTATCATTCTTTTCCTCGGGATCACCCTCTTTCCTCCAAGGTATTTAAATTCCGTTTATTCGACCCCGGCCAAATTATTTCGCATGCCTATCCTCTTCGATCCGATCGACGCTAAATAAAGAACAACAGAGGAATCTACACCCTCTTTTTCAAACCCTAACAAAAGCTTTAACACTTTCGTGACGTGACTGTTTAGCACTTTATTAATGAATTTAGCAATTCTCTTTCGTCGACTTGGCAAACGTTTCACTCATTTTTTCAATACCGTCACGAGGTATTTCCATTTTGGCGTACAGTTTGAAATATCGAGCAGCGTCCATATGCGAGCCAATATAACCGGTGTACAGGAACGGTTTCATATACGGGGTGGCATGGGACGCGAGTAAAGGGTGGCGCGCCGTGAAATATTGGCTACATAGATTTCGACCATTATTGCCGCGTGTAAAACACGGGCGACATTTGGCGCTAAATCGATCAGCACGCCAGAAGTCGCGTACGCGTGCTCCGTTCCGCGTGGGACGAGAGCCGATCGCGAGCCATGAACATATTTTGCAGTCGATTAAGTTTACTTTCTATCTAAGAGAAGATTTCTTCAATATTCTCAAGTATCTGATGTATGGATCGTACATAAGATTTCTGGTCATCGTCCTCTTAATTTTATTACTCAAATATCGTTTGATTTACTTTCGTATTGAATATAAATTTTCCAGTCATTGTTTCATTCCATCAAATCGTTAACAGACTAGGAAATATTGTAAATGTTCTACGAGTGAGGATTAGAATGCAAGTTTTCGGATTATGAAGTTCTCCGGGGTTTCAGACGGGGAGACGGACAGATGAGGCGGGCGTAAATGTTCGTCGCGGGTAGGAATGTATTTATGGAAGGCCGTGGCGGCCTAAGAATAACAGCGTATAAAGTATTCTCGCCATGAATATTTCGTATCTTCTATGGGGATCTCCCGGCTCGAACGTCGTTCAAATTGAATTCTGATTTAACTGGCCGCCGAGTCTTGCCAAGCACAGAAATATCCCTCCTGCGCGTTTTCTCAACTCGCAAAGGAAAACAGCTATTAGACTCGTGCGCGTAATGTGTCTTCTTCAAACATAATTCTCATCGACTATCGCACGTTTTCGATACTCATTTATGTTTATACATTCGTAAATCCCAAATGTATTAAAGAGATTAAAATTCTATTGTCTTTAATACAAATGTCCCAATTTCTGTTCTACTCATTGGATTTTAGGATAAAAAAGGGAGAGAGTAGGCGCTGAAACTTACTGTACTATAAATTTTGCATTAAATTTCATCTATTACTTGATTTATAATAAAAAATTACGAGGGAAACCGTAATAATTGATCGTCGACTGCAAAGTTCATTAGACTTTAGAATCACGACGTTTGATACGCGATCTATCAGAAATCTCGATGCCATTCTTTTGACAATATCCTTCTGGAATCGAACGGAAAGAGTTTCACAGTTCCCGTTTTCCTTTCCTCCCTATGGCGTGAGTTGTGTGATTTATCGTCACGCAGTTAAGAGTACGGATTTATAGTGACCGAACGAAGTTGCGCCCGAGTTTTATGGCCGGCCGGATTGTTTCGAACTGTGCTGAAAGCAGTCCTGCCGAAGCGCGTGGCCCCCGCGCGCGCGAGATGAACGCGTTCGAAAATTCAATTAAACGCGACACAGGACGCGTACCGATCGATGCGAGTGAGTAATGGCTTAAGAAAGTGGAGGTATTAAAAGATATTAGACAAATGAAGAATACCGCGTTCCGTTGCAATCGCTATAAAAATGTGATGATTAAACTGGCCGCGCTCGGTTTGATAATTATGACACGAGATTCATGGTTTTTCTTTCAAAAACTCCTGGCTCGTCCTCGTCCCCTTTCGTCCAATAAAATCGTTCGCATTCCAACAGAGCGATCCAGGTTACAATTTCGCATGAAATATTAATAAGCGATGAACTGAAAAACGCGTATCGATCTCGCGATTTCTACGCTGCGTTCGCTCGCTCGCATCCGAGGAAAGATACCAATTACCTCCAAAATTTATAATAACGCGGGATTTACCATAATTAATCGATTACATTGGCGGGACGTGCGATGAGAGAAGAGGGAGCGGCGCACGCTAGCCGACAGGATTTTTTTTCAGATCATAATTTTAGATAGGCCGGTTGGCCGTTGCCCGCTGACGCAAATGGCGGCGTGTAGGCAAATTGAGGTGAGATTGGAGGTCAGCGCGATCCGTCCTCGCTGCAGCCTCCTACCCGAGCCGCAGCCGCCGCCGCCGCCTCGTGTACCGGCCGATGCAAAACCAATTTGCAAGTCTCCCGTGATTATCCTGTGACTTAAACTAAATCTATTCGAGCGAAACATAAAATATTATTTTAATTCACCGGCAATGCCATGCTTCGTTCCACTTAACGTGACAAAATGAAGATCTCTTGGAACGTGTGTGTTTTATTTAAGAAATCGCGATGAAACAGTTTGATCGACGCTTACACGACAGTTCCTCTATTCATCGGAAATTCAGTATGAAGGAACGTAGATTAGCGGACGGTAGAAGAAACACGCGTGTACGTGTCGAACGGCTATTAACACCGGTCGAGGTCTCTATTAATAGCGAACGAGGGAAAAAGAGCTGGCGGTAGATCAATTATTTTCTTGCCTCGGTTAACGCCACCGTCGGTCCACCGTGATACCGATAACACTACTTTATCAAGGTCGCACGGTTTTTACTTTGCGAATAACCCGAGGGAAGAGTAACTCGTTCGTCGAAGCGCGAATTGATTAGAACATTAATGGAAACACGGGAAAGGAGAGAACGGCTGGGAGAAATATGGAAAGGATCTTGCACTGGAGCTTCCTGCGGATGCGCGTGAATACGAAACGACCCGAACCGTGGGTTCCCAACGCCGTCTGACAGCCTCCGTCCGAGGAGAAGCCGTGGAGGATAAACCGAACTACTAATTAAGCCGCGGAGACCGGTAGAGGCATCTTTTCTATCCCGTCGAGGAAGAGGCTAATTCCTCGTCCATTCCTATCACTGGGATCGATCGTGGCTTCGATTCCAACGGGTTACCTGAACGGCACCGGCTGCCAAATCGAGTAACGCAATTTCGCGATCGGTCGGGGCCCACGGACGGCGTTAATATTAATGATCGGCCGCGGATATTCCGGGATTCGTTTTCTTCCCGACGAACGTTGAT